CAGAGCCAGGAGTAAGTCTGAACACAGCTGGGTGTGACTCAAAATACAAATAATACTATTAGCAAAAATCTCACGGGTCTTCACTATTCCTTCTGCTTAAAAGATCTCACGACTACTCCCAAACTACTATGTACTAATTCTCTCTGCCTTTATTTTCCTCATCTTTCAGTTCTTAAATCAGGAACATTTTCCCCTTATTAATATTTTCTCATTCCTTGAGGAGGGCGTTTATTTTTATTCTCTAAGCCCCTGGGACTGCCTATATCTTACTGGATACCATAAAATGACTTAAAACATAAGACTTTCTGAATCATACATTCCCAGAGGGATGGGACATGCTTAATAAGGTCATCCAGCAAATAAGTAATTTTTGGATCCTCCACATTATTTTATGGAGAGAATTTGGTGCATAAGTATTTGTGAAACTGAGTTTAGATAAAATAAAGGACATATATCCACTTATTGGTATCCTCAAGTCTGAAAGGACATGGGTAATCCATCATGAGAATAAAAATGGAGAATCTATGAGACCATCCAGGTGGTTCTTATTATGAATTCTGTGTCTCCTTTTGAGATGTATCCCCTTCTTCATATTAGCGCAATAGTCCAAACAGTAGTGAGAACTCAACCTCATGCTTAACTCAGACGTAAATTATTTTCATACAATTTTATCAGTTGTAGCACATATTAACCAGGACCTTTCTGTTTAAGTTGTGGTTGGAGCTGTCATTGAGCCAATTCCTTTTTGGGAAACAGTTTATATACCCAAGATAAGGTGTCAGAAGGCCCTTGAGAAAAGTTGTTTGGCCAAATGTCTATGTCTTTTGTCATGCACTCACTGCGTTGGGAGGTTCCTGTCTTTGGGGTCAGAACAAACAACAAAACTGACATTAGGAAGTACTTGTGGTTATCTCTCTATACTCAAGCAAGTTACTTCCCCTCTCTGAACTTCAATTTCCTCTAGAGGAGGATTGAAATAACTCTTAATAATCACTCCCAGCTTTAATATTCCACAACTCTTTTCTGGGCTAGTGTCTGAATTCCCAGGACCCCAGATACCGACCTTCCCTTACTACCCAAAGGACATAGAGGGATGAGATTCACAAGAGATTCAGTGGAGTGGATCTTGCTTCCATGGTCTCGGGAATAGTGTGACTCTCCAGGTAATGACTATCTACCATTCAGTCATCCTGACACCTACAAGTTGCAGCAAAGAAGATGATCACATACATTCATTAAGCATCTCCATAACCAAAATTATTTCTGGTTGATTTTATTTCAAAGTTCCCATGCAATAAAACTACAGACTTTGGGGATATCCTGTTACAGAAAAGTGTTAATGTATCTGGAAGTGTTAATGCTTAAGGCATGGCTATTCTTTGGTAACTTATTCTAGTTATAGACCACAAACAAGTTCAGGCTCATAAAGTTTTCCAGTAGCAAGCAATATGTGTTTTAAAAGTTTGGCTCACCATCCTTCTAGTTGTTTTATTAATGTATGGTTGTGAGGACTTGTCTTAATATCCACTGTCCACTGTCCTCCAGTTGTTCATCAATTTGCTCGAGCGGGCCCATAATGTCTCCATTGTGAGACTTTATTGTTACTGTGTTTGGCATATTGAATATGCCACGGGTAGCTTGCCAGGCTTTGCTGTGTGGGTGAGATACTCTCGGTAGCTTGCTGGGCTCTCCGAGAGGGGAGGAGGAATCGAACCCAGGTCGGCCGGGCCAGCAGCGCAAGGCAAATGCCCTACCGCTGTGCTATCGCCCTACCTCTGTGATATTGCTCTCTCTATCTCTCTTAATATCAGGATGTCAAAATTAGAAAAAAAAAACTAGAGCTCTTATTTTAGTAGACAGAGGTGAGAAGGAGATTGTCTTGTTATAGTATATGTCCTCAGGAGAGGGAACAAAATTTTCAACTGCCAGATTTACATTAACCTTTTGTTACTACAAAGATCACCAAAACTGTGCACTTTTGTTGATGCAGTTACACATGAATAAATCCTCTTCCATAACATATTTACTCTAAATTGACTTATTTTTATTAAATGCTAATAACAAGAGTTTAGCTTGTTTTTATTTTATAACACATTTCTCACTAGTTAACAAGCAGATTTAAAGAACAGGAAATAAAACACTACATAAAGAAGACATAAAAGGACTTTTTCTTTTCTGGAGAAGTATTGCCTCTTAAATATCTCTCTCTCTCTCTCTCTTTCTGTTGTCTCTCTCTGTTTCTCTCTCCTTGCATCTCTCTGAATTTTTTTCAATGAATTTTTGTGAGAAAGAAAGAAAGAAAGAAAGAAAGAAAGAAAGAAAGAGAGAAAGAGGGAGGAAGGGAGCGAGGAAGGGAGAAAGGAAGGAAGGAAGGAACCTAAACATTCCTAAGGCATTATATAATCTGGAGCCATTCCATTAGAGGCAAGTAATGTCCTATAATTCAATATCCCCAAGCCTGTTGATATTCAGAGTAATATTCCTAAATTACTAAGAAAGGGAAACCATGATATACCTAAGAAAGCAGGGACTTATAAAAAGCACTTTAGAAAGTTTTCTACCTTAAAGAAAGTTTTTTTGCTGTTGTTTTTAATTACACTTAGGTAAAAATCTTAGCTGTTAGGGAAACTTTGTTAACCTAAATAAACCAAGTGTGATTTTCAAGGAAGCAATATTGGAGCTATGTGCAGATAGATATATTCTACAGAATAAAGGCTTCTGTGAATTCAGCTAGTATCTGTAGAGAAGAGAAAAAAATAGCAAAGCCATGATCTCATCTTCTGTTTACACTTCAATTCCCAAAGTTAGTAATTAATTGTCCTTGTATTTTGTTACTAAGGCAAATTGTTTTTTTTTAAACTCCCACTTATTTTAAATAAATAAATCGTTAACTTCAAAACAGAATGTCAAATGTAATGTCAAGACACTATTGACATAATAAGCTAATGAACAAAACAGTGAATCATTAATAGCTACTAGAGATAAAAGTCTTCGAGAACTTGTTTTTAATGACTCTGAAAGGCAGCAGAAATCATTCTTAGTAAGAGATTTTCTCATGAAATTTTATTAAAATGTCCATGAAGTTGTCAGGGGGATGGCTCAATGGCCTAAAGAGCACGTTTTGCATACTTGAGACCTGGATTCAATTTATGGCACCATGTTGTTCCCTAAGCAACATGCTAGGAGTAATCCTGAGCACTGCCAGAGTATAGCCCAATACCAGGAAAAGAAAAGAAAAAGTCCAATTATAGATTGCAAACACAGATATATATTTAAAAGTATCAAGAGTCATACCCAGGTCAGCCTCATGCAAGGAAAGCATCTAACCCACTATACTATCTCTCTGACACCCAGGATAGGTGTAAGATGATGGAATAGTGAGTAGGCCAAGGTTTGGTAGTCAAATGACTATACTAACCATCTATCATATTGTGTTTCCCAAATCAAACTCATAAAATCAGTTTTAGGCCATCAGTTTTTTATCTTTGCTTGGATTTTAAATTTGCACAGAGACACTTGGCTCTTCCAAAACAAGGAATTCTTTTAGCAAATAGGGAACTTTTATATCAGAATCGTAGCATAAACACACACAACATATTTCTGGATCATTCTAGTTCTGAGGTCCCTGGGACCATAGCCTGAGATGCTCTGCCAACCTGCTCAGACAGTTCAATGCCTAGGCAAAGTAATGCAGTACTGGGAGCCACTAGGACCATGTGTGACAATACTGGGGTCCTCATAGGTCATATTAATAAGAATAAAAATACTAGAATCAATGTAGTGCCAGGGATCCAGCAGGGGTCCCTATATATGCCATGGACATCCCTGAGTTATCTCTTCAGCCTTGATTCTAGTGTTTTTATTCTTAGTAATATGACATATCAGGTGGAGTTTTGATGACTTGGTTTCCCTATTCAAAAGTTCTCAATGTCTTATCTTTTACTCACAGAATTAAGAGCCTCTTCTTATTCATAAGGTCAACCACATTTTAGTTACAACCTGTCATTCCAAATTTATATCCCTGCAGACTCCTTGGCTCCTTGTGATTGTTAGAATACATTTTGCACCATATCAGTGCAAAAATGATATGCTGGATACAGCTAGAGAGATAGTACAGTGGGTAGGATGTTTACCTTGCACACACTGCTGACCCAGGTTTAATCCCCAGCATTCCACGTGGTCCCCGAAAACCACCAGAGTAAAGCCGGGAGTAAGTTATGAGCACCACTGTGGGTGCCTCCCTTCCCTGAAAGGATATACTTGAACTTTTGGTTCTTAATAACATAGATTTATGAGATGAATGCTGTCAGCCAAATCCTGTTCTATGACTAAACACATATTTAAAGAAAAACAATCTTACTCTCCTCTGATTTATAGGGAATTTTAGCACATTGTGAGTGTGTTCCCAGGTCTAGGTTCCCATTAAAGCAATTGTCAGACTATATATATATATATATCTTTGTGTCCATTTTCTTCCATATGAACATGTCCTCTCCATTCACAGTACTGTCTTACTCATCTCTTATTAACCCTAATCCCATGCCATGCTTAGTGATAGACACACACTTATGTTCAAAACATGAGTCATATATAAAGTTGGTAATATTTGTATGTAAAGTCTGTAGTAACAAGTTCCTATAAAATATATAAATATTATCTATAGTGAGTATAGAATGTATCTATATGGTTATCTCACCGTGATTCTTTTAACATTGTGTTATTTTTAATAAACAAGCCATTTGTGAAAAGGAATGAAATAAATGTCAAGCACCTTCTGATGAAGCTAAACAAAATGAATGAAACATGGTTAGATGTTAGACAATTTTGACTTAACCTGTGCCATTTTCTCTCTTTAGATGACTGACTATTACCCCCTTTCCTGGATTTCCCAGGCTTCCTGGTCTACTCAAGTTTCTTTCCTTCTTTTTGAACCTGGAGGCCAGCCTAGGAGCTAATTTGGGAAGCTGCTCATGTGGTTTCCTTTCTCTTTGACTCCTAAGGTAGAAACTGAAGACCAGGTGCTCGCCACCTTCTGTGGCAGGGAGACCACAGACACAGAGCAGTCCCCTGGCCAGGAGGTGGTCCTCTCCCCAGGCTCCTTCATGTCTGTCACTTTTCGGTCCGATTTCTCCAATGAGGAACGATTCACCGGCTTTGATGCCCATTACATGGCTGTGGGTAAGTCGGAAAATTGGATGATTCATCCCTAAGAGTCTCTTTCCTCTCTAAAAACTAAACATGTCTTATGCTCCCACACAGATTCTGCCATTAACATTTTAGTGAGTTTCTCTGTGACTATCCATCCATCAATTTTTTTTAATTGTGTGGGGGGCCATAACCAGGAGTACTAAGAGCTATTCCCAGGGAAATATGCTTATGGTATGAGGACTTTTCAGCCCTTTGAACTATCTCCCCCAGATACAATTCATATTTTTTAAGAATTTCGAACTGAATTTCAGACATCAGTATGCTTTTTAAAAACAGCACATGTATCATTTTGCTAGGGTTTAATACCTACTCACATTTTTTGTTTAACATAACATTTCCATACAATAAAATGCACAAAAAGTTATCAAGTTCTAAGATTTTTTATATTCATTTATAACCCAAAATATTAACAATATGTTAATCTTTATTGTCAACCTAGAAAGTTCTTGCTAATCATACCCCATTTCTACCTCAACATGGAGGCAACAATTCTTCTGAGTTTTTTCAACCATAGATTAATTGTTCCTCTTTTAAAACTTAATATAAATCAGCACATAAAATTATTTTGAGTGTGAATATTATATTACTCAAATAATATTTGAGACTCATTCATATTGAGTATATAATAATTTTGCTCTTTTTCATGACAAGGCAACTTTATATTTTATAAATACATTTAAATTTTTTCATTTATTCTCCAGATGGATATCCTTCTTGTTCAAGTCTTTTGGAGGACATGTGTTATTATTTCAATTAAGTAGATATCTAGGAGGATTATTGGGTCAAAACGTAGATTTTTGTTTTGATTTATGTAGATTTATTCTTATTTTATAATAAATTGCCAGACCTTTCCCCAGGCCACTATATATGTCTTTTACCAATATGAAAATATTCTCATTGCTTCATAGCTGCATCAACATTTGGTGTTGTTGGTTTTTATATTTTTAAGCATTCTTGTAGGAATGCAGTTAGTGTACTCATTATGGTTTTAATTTGCATTTTCATGGCAATTTGTAATATTAAACTTTTTTTGTATGTTCCTGTTGGTTTTTCAAGCATAATTTTGTGGAAAAAAATTCTGTTCAAATATGGGAGATTGATCATGTATATTTATAATTCCAAAGCCTAGCATGGGGCTTGGCCTGTATTATGAATTTAGAAAGAGCTCAGAAATCATAAGATCTGAGCTCTGGGGTTACTGCTTAATTTGAATACTAACTCTAATACTCTTTTTTATTATTATTAAAGAATTAGGATTTTTATTATTATTAAAGAATTAGGATTTACAAAGTTATTGATAGTTGAGTTTTACGCATATATAGTTGAGTTTCACCACTACCAGCATCAACTTCCCTCTACCAGTGTTCCCATACTCTCTCCCATCCCCACCCTCCACCCCATCCCTGCCTGTTCATTTGACCGGCACATTACAAAGTTTCAGCGGATGCAGCTTATATCTCATGTTTTCAGTTTCATTGAATCTGTTTTGGACAGATGGCTACTCTACTCACCCGTACCACCAGTATAAAACTGAAGCCCTGGTGCCTATTCACCCATTACTTCCAATTTTTTTCTTCCCCACTTGATATCTTTCCTTCTCCTCTCCAAATATTGGGGTCGAGGATGATCTAGACATCCCCCTTTTACTACATTTCCTCAACCAGTAATCTATATGCCGCAGATAAGTGAGATCACCTTGTATTTGTCTTTCTTCTTCTGGCTTGAGCACTTTCTAAACTGAAGTAAATTCTTTAACTCTTCTAATTCTCAGCTCTGTAATTTTGGAATAGGATAGTAATAGGCCCTCTTGCTATGGTTACTGTTCCCTGGGTTTAAACCTAGCTTTATGTGATAACAGAATCCTTTATTCAACTTCTGTGATCTGCAATTTCTTCATTTGAAAATGGGTATGATGGATATTTCTGGCCCTTCAGGGAAGATGAAATGAGGAGAATGCATGAATCTTCTGACACAACAAGGGACTCCTCAGCAGTGCTCTGTAAGCATAGCAATTGTCTTCATTGTCAGCCATGGGTTAAGTAACTGAAAGTCTCTACTTGTCCTGCAGATGTGGACGAGTGCACAGAACAGGAAGATGAGGAGCTGTCCTGTGACCACTACTGCCACAACTACATCGGCGGCTACTACTGCTCGTGCCGCTTTGGCTACATCCTCCACACAGACAACAGGACCTGCAGAGGTGGGGCTCAGGGATGGTTCTGTACATCATCACAGTTCCCAGTAAGATTATGAAGTGCTCAAAGGAAGGACAGATGTTTATTAGGAACAACTGCACATGAACTCAGGGGGCTGTGCCTCCAATACCAACACATAGACAAAATACTTGTACCACCTGAACATCAATTTTTGCTTTGCAAAGGGCTACATTCGAAAAGCACTAGATTCTAGACCATCTGCTCATCTCTGGGCAGCAGAAACTTCTGGTACTTTGCCCCTACATCCTCTCTAACTATACAAATTAGCCTGATCAAGGCAATGAACAACCAATGAACAACTTCCCAGTCTCCATCTGAGCCATGAACTCAGAGTCCCTTTATTGCTTCTCTTCCTGACACCTTTAAGTTTCTCTGTAATAGAGAAACAATCCATAAGAGAGAAGAGAGTGGAGAACAAAAACAGAAACCATGGGAAGCAACTCATTCCCTCTCTCTCTCATTGTTCTTATTTCTCATCAGCCTGATGCAGTATCTGAACTGGGCTAGGGGTAGAGGCATAAAATGGTTCACCCAATTTCCATGAGAATCTTACTAACAGGTGGAGTAAAGCCAGTTGAACCAAGGTGGGGCTTTGGCAAATCCCAAGCGGAAGTATGTACACCCACAGTCAAACCTGAGCCTGCCTCTCCAAACTCTTCCACAGATGAAAGAACAAGAAACAGGAAGGCATTCTGGTCAGGAAGAGCAGCTTCTGCAAACATTCTGAGCTGTGACAAAATTTGTAATATTTGGGGAATTATCAAGAGATTAGAGTGAGGATGTATGTTTTAGAAAGATCACTTAGAAGCCAAGTGAGAGATCCCTGGAGGAGGACCAGACTGAAAACAAAGATTCTTGGTTTCTCCCTTCAAAAACGTCCACTTGCTTTCAAATAAAACCTCAGTATGAACCACTGTGTAAAGCAATCATACACAAGAATGTTCTTGAGGGGGTGGTATTTTCTAGAACATTAATTTATTTCATATGTGTTGTTGATTATATGCTAAGTATGACAGAAGCTAAAAAGTGAGTCATACCCTCCACCTCTTTTTCCTCTTTCACCACTGCTTCAGGAGCCTTTTAGAACTTGATTTTAGGGACTGGAGCTATAGTACGGTGGGTAGGGCATTTGCCTTATATGCGGCTTACCCGGGTTCAATCTCTAGCATTCCATATGATCCCCCGAGCACTGACAGGAGTAATTCCTGAGTGCAGAGCCAAAAGTAATCTCTGTACAAGACTGGGTGTGCCTCAAAACAACAAAAAAACTAAATAAATAAATAAATAAAACTTCATTTTCATAATAGCCCCTACTCATGAAATTTGAGTAAGACTGATACATTATATATGTGGTATATGCTATACATCTATCTGTATGTTATGCATCAAGGGAGGAACAACTCCATTCTCAAAGAACCAGTGTTAACCCCCATCATGGGCAATATTACCCCCAAGAGAATACTTGGAATGAAAACTGAAAACGGACAGTAATTCATGAGAAGTAATTCTAAACTTGTCCTGTGGCTCATGGCTATGGGTCTTCAACTTAATTATACCTGCTTTCTGGGCCAGAGTTTTCTCATTTGCAAATGAGTAGAATAAAAAAGAACTTAAAAAGAACCGACTTTTTTTTTCTTTTTGGGTCATACCCAGCATTTCACAGGCATTACTCCTGGCTCATGCACTCAGGAATTACTCCTGGTGGTGCTTGGGGGACCATATGGGATGCTGGGAATCAAACCCGGGTCAGCGTTGTGCGAGGCAAACGCCCTACCCACTGTGCTATCGCTCCAGCCCCCCAAAATTCTTTTTCAAGATGGATCAGTTTAAGGGTAAAGATTTAGTTGCAAATAAAGGAACTTGGTAGAGCTTAGTGAGGAACAGGATACTAGAACCCTGGGTTCCTAACTGTAATGCAGCGAGAAGAAACAGTAGAAGACTGAACTCGTGGTCTTACAGTCTGATAAGGACAAGAAAACCCAGACATGCCACATAAGTAGTTGTAGGTAGCAAGAAACAAAACAAGTTCATGGGCCAGAAAGAAAAGGTGTAAGTGAGATAGAAGGGTCAAAGAATGCTTTAACAGAGTCTTAGGGACAGGGGCTTGAGGCAAGAGCAGAACAAAAATGATCTCAAATCATCAGAAATGCCTCCTGTCTCCACTCTCCCTTCCACACGAGTACCAGAGAATTTGATAGAAAATATTTTATCACTCAGTTCCTTTGATTAACTCCCTTTAACTCTACAAAATGATTAGGTGAGTGAGCTTGGGAGTCATTTTCCATCCCTGAGCTACCCCATCTGTAAAATGGGAATAATGATTGCTACCTGCTTGCATCTCAGATTAGTAGGGAAAGTGTGTGGTGAGCAGGTAGTAACAGGGCTGCTGTGGTCATGGGGGTGATATGTTACTTTGCTCTGGTATATTCCCACAGTGGAGTGCAGTGACAACCTCTTTACCCAGAGGACCGGTGTGATCACCAGCCCAGACTTCCCTAATCCTTACCCCAAGAGCTCTGAATGTTTCTACACAATCGAGCTGGAGGAAGGTTTTATGATCAGCCTACAGTTTGAGGACATTTTTGACATTGAGGACCATCCTGAAGTGCCCTGCCCCTATGACTACATCAAGGTAAGTTCTTCGGTGGGCACTAACCCAGGGGATGCTGGAAAATTTTGACTGAGTTGAGAAAAACTGATGTTCTCAGCCCTTTTTTCCAGGGTAGGGGTCCCAGGTGGCTTGCTTCCCCAGAAATAATTATATTTACCAGCTTGTACATATCCAGTCCAGTGTAATTGTGAAGTTTCAACTCTGCTGCTGTTTGTGGAGGGGAGTAATCAAATAGAAAACACACTGATGGGTAGGTGTAAGAGCTTTATTAGTAACAAGCTAGCAGGTTGAATGATAGCAGATTTAAGTCTTCAAAGTAGCGGTCTTGTCTGCACAGTCATAAGAAAACGTTGCTACAGGGAGAGCCACAGTCTATGGGCACAAATAAAACCCCCTATGGATGTCTCTCTTGGGTTCCCAGTCTTATTTGAAAACCTAAAGAAAGAATTTGACTTTTGGGAAGAACAAAATGAAAAAGACAGCAGTGCGGGAAGGGAACCTAAGGCCAAATCTGATCTTTAGACTTTGGGACAAGGTCAGTTGTCCTTAACTAATATTGATCTTTGGCCTAGTTTCATGGGGATTCCCCAGCATCCAAAATTAACCCTTTGTTGTCCTGGAAACTTTCTTTAATTGTGATGCCATTATGAAGCAATGCCTGCAGTGAAGGTGATGGGACCATCTTAGGATCCTGCACACCACACAGTATTCAGGAGATGTGCTTTTAGTCTTAGCCTGGGTCATACCCTATCAGGACTCACTGGTTTCTCCTCTCCACTAAAAGAATTCAGGATTCTGGAAGCCACCAAGAAAAGGTTAAAGAGTCAGATGAGAAGAAAAAGTTAAAGGCATAGGAAGGAACCCTGACTTTACAGGAGATGGAAAAATCTGGATCAGCTAATGGTGTTACTCCTTTCTATCCTTGCTCTCCTACTCCAAACCCCTTAGCTCCTGGCCAATTGGAAAGCTTCCCAGCTAATTTTCTTACTTTTATCATGCTCCTACACTCTCCTTCCATAAGCACGAAGGCTGACCTTTTCAAAGCCAGATTCCGTCAAGATTGCACTTTGGATTCAACCCTACACAGTGGGCCCTGTCATCCTTTCTAATCTCCTATTGTAAACTCCCTCTCTTACTGTCATACTGGCTGCTTCCCTGTTCTTTAAGCTTACCAAGTCCTTTGCTATCTTTGGCCTTAATTCTCTTACATATTATTTTCTCAGCCTGGAGAGTATTCTCCCCTCATCTTCAAATGACAAGCTCCTACTCATTCGCCGCATTTCAGATCCAAGGTCACCTCCTTATAAAGGCTTTCCCTGTAACGTATTTAAAATTCTTGTCTAGGGGTGAATAGATACAGAATTTAAGGTGCTTGCATTGCATTCAGTTGACCCCCATTTGGTTCCCAGCACTATCCAACCCCTCAAACACAATTGCAAGTGACTGCTGAGCACAGAGCCAGGAGTAGCCAAAGAATACCACCAGGTGTTAAACAAACCCCAAACCAAATTATTGTCTATTCTTTTACTTATCTATTGCATAAGTGATGAATAATATATGTTATATATATATTTTAATGAATAGATCATAGACTCACAGATTATATTTATTATATTACATATATGTGGATAATATATATTATATATAATTTAATATGTAGTATGTAATATATGGGCTGGAGCGATAGCACAGCGGGTAGGGCGTTCGCCTTACAAGCGGCCAACATGGCCGACCCGAGTTCGATTCCTCCGCCCCTCTCAGAGAGCCCGGCAAGCTACCGAGAGTATTTGATATGCCAGACACAGTAACAACAAAGTCTCCAATGGAGACGTTACTGGGCCCGCTCGAGCAAATTGACGATCAACGGGAGGGCCTTTACTTTACTTTTTATGTAATATATACTATATTATATATATAATCCTGGTTATTTTTTATAGCACCAACAATAGCCTACCTATATTCATTTTGGTAATTATTTGTTGTTAGTGTTCCCTAACTAGACTACATATTGTTCTAGAACAAAGTTCTTTCTATCCTGTACACAATGACAGGGCCGCCCATTGTGAATCAGAAATGAGAGCATGAAGACAAAACCATTTAGTAATGGGACATCACTAAAAGCTTCAGTTAGTAACATGGATTCGCATGGAAATTTCTAGAAAACCCAGGGTACAGTGTCACTGTAGTCCCTTGGAGCAGCCACTACTACTCATACACAACCATCCTTTTTCTCTCTCTTACCCTCACAGATTAAGGCCGGTTCAAATGTTTTTGGACCCTTCTGTGGAGAGAAAGCCCCCGAACCAATCAATACTCAGAGCCACAGCATCCAGATCATGTTCCGCAGTGACAACTCTGGCGAGAACCGGGGCTGGAGGCTGGCCTACACAGCAGCAGGTAAAGTGGCCTCATCTCTTGGCTATGCTTAGTCCTCACCAGCAGAAACTAAGACTCAAGGGATGCAGGCCTTGGGATGTCTGAGGGATGTGTTGAGATTCCTAGCACTTGCCAGTGAGTGGCTGGGAACTAAGACATCCTCTATCTCTCTTCTAATTCAATTCCTATTTATGAATGAGCAGCAGTGGAGGTGATTTTTAAACTAAACTTGTAGTGCTGTGTTTAGGGAAAGTTGTTTCAGGTGGGGGCGGGGGGCATGTGTTGGGGGGCAGCTTCCAAACAGTGCTCAGAGAACCTCTTGACAGTCCCAGCTGTTCACTTGATTTAAGTCCCCATGGTCTTAATTCACACCCAACAGTACTCCAGGCACTGAGCACCAGTGAGGTATATGGTGCAGGGGATTGAACACAGATAAGGTATATGCAAGTCTTGTGCCCTAGTCCCTGTACCATTCCCCTGGCCCCATATTTTTTTTTTATCTTATTACTGGCTTCATTTTTTTTTTAGTTTTTAATTTTAGGTAGGGCTACACCCAAATGGTGTGACAGTGCTCAGGGACCACGGAGTGCCAGGGATGGAACCCAGACCTCCTCTATGAAAAGCATGTACTAATGCAAAGCCTGTATTTTCATACTTTGAGCTAGCTCTCTGGGTCCACTTGCTTCAATTTTTCAGACGTTTAAAAATTAAATTTAACTATGATAGTTTGGGCTGGAGTGATAGCACTGTGGTAGGGCGTTTGCCTAGCGTGCAGCAGGCGCGGCTGACCCCAGTTCTATTCCTCCACCCTCTCAGAGAGCCCGGCAAGCTACCAAGAGTATCTTGCCTGCAAGGCAAAGCCTGGCAAGCTCCCTGTGACATATTCGATATGCCAAACACAGTAGCAACAAGTCTCAAAATGGAGCATTGCTTCGCCTTAGGAAATTGATGAATAATGGAAGGACAGTGCTACAGTGCAGTGCTATGATAGTTTAGGTCACATGTTTATAATAGTATTTACAGTTATGGTTTACTGTGCTAATAAACTATGCCTTATCACCCCCAAAGTGTCCAAAACCCTTCTGAATGCCCCTATGTCACTTCCAGTCCACCTTTTCATTCCTCTGCCTTCCCACAATATCCCCCTAGCTTAGTATTCCAAGTTTTGTAATCCAGGACAGAGGGTTTGCTACCATTTGATGACATTTTGCTACCATTTGATGACTGTTTTGCTTCTTATTGCGTTCCTGTATACACCACCGATGACTGAGATCATCTGAGATTTGTCCTGCTACCTCTAACTTATTTCACCTGACATCATACCTTCCAGTTCTATCCAAGTTGCAACAAGCTTCATGATTTCATCTTTTTTTATGACTTCATGATATTCTAATATGAATATATACCACAACTTTCTTATCCACTCCTCTGTTGTTGCATATCTGGGTGGTTTCCATATCCCGACTAGTGTACTAAGTGATGCAATGAACTTAGGTGTGCCTGTGTCTTTTGGAATTAATGTTTTGTATTTGGGGGTAGATGCCTAGATGCAGAATCACTGGGTGATATGGAAATTCCACTCTCACTTTATTGAAGAATCTCCATATTGTTTTACATAGAGGATGAACAAGATAGTAATGCATTCCCACCAATAATAAATGAAAGTTCCACATCCCACCAATACTTTAAAAAAATATATACTCCTTTTTCAGTGGTATGAGATGATATCTTGTGAGTTCAAAGTGTGGGGATACAATATGTTCGGTGCCTGATTGCTGCCTCCCCAGGCTTCCCCAGCAGAGGAAAAAAGAGACAGAGGACTTGTGGAAAGATGGTAAAAACGAACCATTTAATGCAGAGCTGTTAGCATACTTACAGAACATCTGGAAGCAGGAGGATTCGAGGTATAGGACTGCACGTAGTTGTGATTGATCATTTACAGAGGTAAAGTGTTTCGCTGGAGGCAATGCTCTTATTGATTGTAAATCAAGGACACACTCTGTCTCCCAGAGTGTTTTTCTCTTTCCTCTGGTTGTACATATTAAACAATTACATTTACTTCTTATTAATACAGTTATTTGGATAAAACACAGTAAGAGGGACTAGAGTGAGTAGTACAGCTGGTAGGGCATTTGTCTTGCACGCGGCTGACCCGGGTTCAATCCCCAGCATCCCATATGATCCTCCAAGTACCACCAGGAATGATTCCTGAGTGCAGAGCCAGGAGTAACTCCTGAGTATCACCAGTGTGATCCAAAAAGAAAAAAAAATCCAGTAAGATATATAGGTTCCAAAGGTTAGTTCTCTGGGCTCTGAGGGAAACCCTGTTGGGCTTTACCATAAATTCCAGACTAGGTCCTCAGGCCAGTTCAGTTTGTCCTGCCCCATGAGATCCTCTCTCTTAAATCATAACTGCTTGCATCAAGACTGTGCTTTTATGCATTCTAGACTGTACTATTTTGATGACAGATAGCTTTACCTCTCACTTTGAGCCCATCCAAGACCCACAATAGGACTTTCCACTTTATGGGGTGTTAGGAACTACAGCAACCAATGTTGAGTCAAGTGATTATGATGGACACCAAGAGTAGATATATTTCAATCAACTCCCAAATATTAAGGAGCATAGCATTAACAGTCTTTGTGTATTTAAGCAAGGAATATTGTTCTATGGTAAAATATGAAAAGGATATTGGGGAAATAGAAAAGCAAGTAATTCACTGCAAAGCCCAGAATCTCTAGAAGTTTTGACTTATAAGTAACCAAAACTGACTTGGGGAATTGTGACAATGGGAAGTAAAACATAAAGGAAAGATTAAAGATAAACATGGGGGCTAGGGGTGCTCTTACAAGACACTATAAGGTTCTCTGTGGGGGAGAAAAACGGGCAATTCACTGATGAAGTCTAAGGCACTCAGGGTTAAAATCCAAAAATATCTGATGTTTTTATTTGCATTTCCCTAATTTTTTTTTCAGTCTTGTCTCCGGAATGCCATCCATTTCATACCATATTTCCTTGGACCTTCTTTTTTCAGCCAGAACTCCAGTCTGGGCTGGAATTGGGGTGCAAATCTTGAGTTGAGAATGTTTTATCATGCAGTTTTGTCCCTTACCTTAGCCCTCTCATCAATACCACTGATGAAACTGACAGGCCTCAATCTCCAGCATCCCAAGGCAGCCAGCTCAGGCCTCAAACTCTGACAGTTATTTTATGCACGAGGTCTGCAGGACTGAGAAGAGGGTGGGCATCACTGAGATGATGCTGGGCATGACAAATCCACTTAAAAGATTCTGAAATCTTGACCCTTTACTTATCTTCATCTTCAGAGGTCTATTCTGGGGAGGGAGACTTGAAGAGAATATTATTAACAAAGAAGGTTTGTTCAGGGAAAAATATGCAGGGATAATCTCTGGTCTATGAATCCTGTTGGATGTTGCGTCTACAGAGAGAACTCAGAGATATATGATCCCTTTGAAGGACAATCTTGGAAAGAAAGGATAGTTTGGAAATGCTTTCTATAATGTAAATCTGAACAACTTGCATCATTATTATGTCTTATTAAGATTTATTAAAGCATTGGAAGTGCAGTTTGGCAATTCAAAAAAAAATAATAAAGGGTAATTTGGGGTCAATTTGAGAGGTCCAAGAGGCCAATAAATAAAAACTACTAGACTGGGACTAAGATCTATTATAGCAATTAGAGTTAAATTCCCAGTATCACATGATCCCCCAATATAGCTAGGTGTGATCCTGGACTCCCCCGGCATCATCCGGTGTTCCAGGTACCCCCAGTATCTCAGAGTCCATGCAGCATTGCAACCTCAGGCCCTTTCTTTGTAACACTAGCCTAGGTGCCATATCTCCAGTGGGGTGACTGGGCTTTCTGCACACCAGAGACCAAAAAAAAAAAAAAGTACCAGGGTACAAATTTCAACTGAAAGTGTTATCAAAAACTTTGTAAATTATGGTTTAAAAATATCAATTTTAAAATAAAATTAAAGCAAAATTGCAGAGGCAAAAAGATTGCTTAATTGAAGATGGAAATGCTGTTCTTTCAATGGGAGGGATCCGAAAAGGGGAGGTGCTGGGCTTCCTGGTCCTATAGGGGCATAAACTGAGGTTTGGTGACTACTCTGAAGGAGAACACAGAGAAAGCATGAGAAGAGGGACAAATTCAAAGACATCCAGTGCCCTTTTCCAGCCCTGAGTTTTGATGAAGTTAGAAGGTGACCTGCTCACGTCTCCAAAGTGAATTTTCTTCAGCGTCCAAGAGATTCAAGCCAGTCAGTCACGTGCTATGCTTCCATAGGCCTTTGGGAGTTAACTTGCTCCCCTTCAGACTCTATCTTGCTGTCTCACAGACTGTCCTTCATTGCTCCCACCAGGAAATGAGTGCCCAGAGCTACAACCTCCTCTCCATGGGAAAATCGAGCCCTTGCAGACCAACTATTCTTTCAAGGACCAGGTGCTCATCAGCTGTGACACTGGCTACAAAGTGCTAAAGGTACAAGGCACTGACTGGGGACCATGATGAGCTGCCTCAGAAGCTCTGCAGAGCCTCTCAGGGAAGATGGGTTTTAGCTCTTGACAGTCCAGTTTGCTGTTTCCTAGCTCCCTCAAACCTCCAAAATTGCTCTGAAAACTGCAGTTATCGGAAAATCCAAAGCTAGGATCTCCAACTATCACAAAAATGTCATTGACAGATCATGGACTGGTTTGAATTAAAATTTAAATATATATATGTATACACACACACACACACACACATATATATATTAAGAGAAAGAGAGGAGAGAGACAAAGAAAGAGACCGAGAGACAGAGACAGTGAGAAAGACTATACTTAGGACTAACAACCTTCATGTTCATTAGGCTTATCTGAGAGAAACTGGAGTGGGAAGCAGAGAAATCAATCAAAGGTGCAGGCAAATATGGCTGACTTTTTCACTCTTGAAATAGTGGTTCTCTTAGGATTCACTTGGTTGACTTTTAAAAAATGAAGTACCCACTCACCTCCCAGGCCCTCACTGAGACCAACTAAAGCAGAACCTCTAGGGGCCAAGGCCAGTGGTCAGTGGTTGGGGTTTCTGTTACACTATCCAGGTGAGTGTGATATGCAGTCAAGCTAGAGAACCACCAACCTCAAGGAATAGTTCTCTGCATGGAGTTCTGGACCACAGCATCTTCTGTTAGAATTGTAATCCTTGGGTTCCAGATCAAACCCAATGAGAGAAACTGCAGACAGAGGGCCAGGTGGTCTCAGGCAAAGTCTCAGAGATGCTGATGTTCAAGTTAGAAAAGCATTGCTCTGAAAGAGGACTCACAGGTACAGGTTTCCCTTCCAAGACCATTGTCCAAGCCTATCTCGTACATGGGCCTTGTCTCTTTCCAGACTTTGTTGCAAAAAAAGAATTCAGCTTCTCTTTCCCTTATCTGTGAAGTCACCCTTGGAGCCCATGGGTGGAAAATCTTGTCAAGAACAGCCAAGCTTGAAATCAGGTCCAGTTTGGCTAAGAGACAATGACCAAATCTACCCCATTCCTTTTCCATAACTTCTTCATGTTTCTTCCTAGGATGGTGTGGAGATGGACACATTCCAGATTGAGTGTCTAAAGGATGGGACATGGAGCAACAAGATCCCCATCTGTAAAAGTAAGAAAATATAGTTGGTTGATTATTAAAGAGCAGGAGTTCCCCAGGCCTTGGAAGTTTTCACCAGCGTAAAAATTTGGCAGGTGCACTGTCAGAGGAATAGGGTCAGGAATTCAGTGGACAAATAAGGGTGGAGTGAAAGATTATTAACACCCCTTCCAACAATAAGACTTTAGGATTCCAAAAGAAATGTCCTCTCGTAGTGAGTCTTACTTGCTAAAGATTCACTGGACCTCTGTCTGCCAAATTTGTTAAAGACATAGTGTGTCACTTGGCTTGAAACTGGCTCAGATAGTGGCTAGTTTAGGAAACTATTTTGGCATCTAAACCTATAACCTCACTAGTCTCAATGCGGACATCAGCCATTGTCACTAAGTCGTCTAGAAGAACACGTGCTCTAAGACTGTGTTGGGGCTGGAATGATAGCACAGCGGATAGGGCATTTGCCTTGCACGCGGCCAACCCGGGTTTGACTCCCAGCATCCTATAAGGTCCCCTGAGAACCGCCAGGAGTAATTCCTGAGTGCAGAGCCAGGAGTCACTCCTGTGCATCGCCAGGTATGACCCAAAAAGAAAAAAAAAAAAAGACTGTGCAGGAATGTCTGTGGTGTCAGCACAGTTGTCATGCTGGTAAATACAGTGGGAAAATCAGATTCAACTTTGCACTATTCTTGGGACCCAGAATTCTTGCCTTGGCTCTACTCCTAATGCCTCCTGTGACCCATCAAAGACACTTGCCCTTCACCATTGTGAAACACAGACCTAGGGCTAGTTAAATAATCTCAACTTTTTCAAAGTAGCTCCAAAGAACACAGTCCATACAAATTACCTTGTATGCTTTGCAAAAACCAAAAAATTGCTAACCACCAACCTATCCGTGTGATTTCAGAGAAAGACTTATGAGGACCACAGTTTTAGGGAACTTCTTTCTGATGACAGTGATAAGAAGAAGGTGGTGATAGAAAACTTAGGGAAGAAACGATGAGAAAGAGAGAGGATTTACTTTAGAACAGAGAGGTGAAGAGGCAAGAAGGAAGGTGATTCTGCCCATCCCTATCTCCTAACTGCATGTGAACTTGGGGACAGTGACCCTTCGCCATCTGCTAAATGACTGGGTTCCAGCTGGTGGCCTTGGCTGGAGTCAGAGAACAGTATGGGAAAGGGGGAATTTGTTAGAGCTTCAACAAAAAAGTTTCAACAAACATATATGTAGAGGTAAATAGGGAATTCAGATAGAAAAGACCAGAGGGAGATATCAAAGAACTCAAATGACAACGTAAGCATCCATGACCCCCTGTGGCTCATGTGACTGAGTTCTGACAGTTCTCTGCAAAGCATTTGGCAGCACAAATTAAGTGTCTTCTGAATGGAGGAAGATGAGGATTTGAACTGTAGAGCTGGATCTGGCTTCTGAGTCTGGAAGCTCTGCGCCAGGGGTTCCCAGTTATCTCCCTACTGTCATCTTTTCAGAAAAAAAATTAGTCAATGCTCCCCTGAAAGCCTATATTCTTTTTTTCTTTCCTCCTCCTCCTCCTCCTCCTCCTCCTCCTTCTCCTCTTTCTCCTCTTCCTCCTCCTCCTTCTCCTTCTTCTCCTTCTCCTTCTTCTCCTTCTTCTCCTTCTTCTCCTTCTCCTTCTTCTCCTTCTTCTCCTTCTCCTTCTTCTCCTTCTTCTCCTTCTCCTTCTTCTCCTTCTTCTCCTTCTCCTTCTTCTCCTTCTTCTCCTTCTTCTCCTTCTTCTCCTTCTTCTCCTTCTTCTCCTTCTTCTTCTTCTTCTTCTTCTTCTTCTTCTTCTTCTTCTTCTTCTTCTTCTTCTTCTTCTTCTTCTTCTTCTTTGAATCAAACAGGATCACGATCATCCTGTTGTTCATCGATTGCCTTGAGCAGGCACCAGTAACGTCTCCTTCACCCTAGCCCTGAGATTTTAAAAAGTGATATTCAAGGCTCTTTCAGGGTTAGGAGAATGAGACCCATCATTGTTATTGGTATTTGGCATCTTGGGTACACCACAGGGAGTTTGTCAGACTCTGTCCTGTGGGCAGGTTATATTTGGTAGCCTGCCAGGTTGCCCAAAGTAAGAATGAGATAATAAGATGTCGTGTGGCCACAAATGCGGCCTCGCACTTTCCAAAGCTGGGTTTTATAGTCTCTGGGTCTTGGCCGTTGATGGGATTCATGGCACCAGGGGGCCAGTTGGTGGGTGTGACCCCTGCCTACTGGAAGATGGAGGATCTGGGTGGAGGATGCTCAGCCCCAATCCGAGAAGGCTTGGAGATCGAATCACTGTAAAATTATTCATGGTGTAGTTTCAGTCATACAGTCATAGAGTGTTTCAACACCTCCACCAGTGTACATTTCCCAAACCAATGTCCCCAATTCCCCCCCCCCGGAAACCTATATTCTTTGGGGGGAAAGAGAAAGCCCTCCCTGCCCTCCCCTGCACCCCCTCTTCCCCCTTCATACACAAGTGCAGTCAAAGCTACCACTGGCTCCACTTTAGATTGTTTTACTGCCCCCTGCTGGGCAGTGTGTAGGAAACAATGCTCTAGATTCAGGGTCACTCAGACTCTTTGGGCCTCATTCTAGATTGTTCTGAGGGTCAACTAAGTTCATGTGTCTCTCATACCTGTGAAGCACCAGAAATAAGTACAATAAAAAATTATTTCTCTCTCCCTTCTCACCTACTTCCCTGCAACTCTCTCACTTGAAAGAGACATGGTTTCTCTTATTCATGCTTGTGAAAAGTAAATAACATTAATAATAAATCTTTATCCCTGATTAAACACACATTTTCATTGTAACATGTGCTAATAGAGCAAGATGGTGCTGTATTTGATGTACTGTTTCATGTGACTTGGGTCAGCCTACAAAAGAATGCTTTCATTTGCATGCAAAAAGCAGGGGAGGGGGACTTTTTACTCTCCAAAGAATGTTTTTATTTGTACTAAAAAAAGGGGGGGAGGTTGTTTTTCCTACCACAGTCCAGATCAAAGGTCTTGATTATAGTTTTATTAGATACCTGAGCATCTCTGTCCTTCACAGAGCAGATGTTTGTTGGACATTTCTGTCCTAGGAATGTGCTAGCTCCAGGGGAAATGGAAAGTTGAACAAGATTAAGAAGCTAAAACTCTCTCAGGAATTCATGGGAAAGGGAGTGGGAATAGACAGGAAGTGAACATAGTGAAGAAATGTGCTCTGGAACAGGAAATGGAAATTATGGCTATAGACCAGCCCTGCCCCCACCTTGCTATGATGACTGGGAACAAATCTGCTCTCCTCTAAATGTCATCTGTCAGTTGAGGGCTTGGGCTAGATGAATGTACAGCAGGGCAGAAGGTGATAATCCTCATGATTTTTGACTGTGCAAATTCTCAGAATTGTACACATTCCACAGTCTTAAACCTTCCTTCACACTTGCTGTCCCTAAACTGTACATTCTTAATCCTGGAGGAGTGAATTCTGCATTTCTTGCTTGAACTGTTTCTGCTTTGCATGCTAATTTTTCTCTCTCTTCTCTCTCTCCCTCTTCCTCTCTGCTTCCTTTCTCTGTGCTTCCTGATCCCTCTTTGATCTTTACCCTGATGGCAGACACCGAAATGGATGAGGAGAGTGAATTCCAAACAGAGCAAGTGGCAGAGTGAATGACTGGAACCCGCATATGCAGACATCCAAGAATGGACACTTCCAAGACCCCCCGGCTCCTAGAGCTTCACCGCCCCCCCACACACTCCATTTCTCATGCCATTGAGGATTAGAATGAATGCTGAACAAGGCAACACAGTCTCAAGCAGTTGCAACTGCTGTGTGCAAAAGAATAATTTCTATTTGAGGATTTGTCCTTCATTGAAATATTTCTCTGGAAAATAATTAAAAGACAATGGAGGTTATTCTAAGAACTCCTAAATGGATTGCATGCTTCTCAAATGAAAAAAAAATGACTTTGCTTCTAGCAACACACAGTTTATTCAGTCCCATGACCTTTGGACCGACCAGGCCAAAGGGATCCTAATTTTTAATCTGCTGCACATTTTAAAGTCAAATTGGTCTGTGATTTTGAAGTCTGTGGGTCCCCATGAGTGGCTTAGGTCAGGTGGAGAGAAGAGAGACAGCACTTTCTCTCGATCCACCTCTGCCTCCCTGTGACCATCTGGGAAGGCTGGAACTGACAAAGTCTTCCATGAGCCTCTGCCCAGCCTGGGTCAGAGACCCCACCAGCTATACTAGGTGACTGTCAAGCCACACTTGACACCCATTTGACCTTTTCGACACGGGAGTTAATTCCCACCACTCAATTTCTCCGGGAGCACACTATGTACCCAGGCTGGACTGAGGAAAATTGCTATTTGCAGGAAAGAAAACCAGTCCTAGGCCTTACCCAGGACATTTGGGTCCTTGTCCTCCTGCAGAAAGGAATTTCCGGAGTAGACAAGCAGTGAAGTAAAACCAGATTTTATTTGGAGGCTTTCTGAGGAAAGGGAGGGACAGAAAGGGAGAGAGACTAACACACATGAAAGAGCATGGGCTTCTCCTAAAGAGAGCCTTGAATGGCCTTTAAAACCGGCTTTTATGTGGATATTCTTGAGGCCACTTTAGTCTGGAGGCTTCTGCCAGAGGTGAGGGTTAATCAGGTTTAGTACAAAGGAACAGCTTTGACTATTCAGTAATCTCCTTCACCAAGTCTCTGTCTCTGCTGAAGCTTGTGATCTCTGTAGGGGGTCCAGCCTCCTCCTGGAGGTCTGTTACTGGAGCCAGGAAGGTCTTAACAGGCCTTAATTCCTGTGTTCACAGGTGGGCTTTTTGCAGACTTGGGCCTGTTGGTTTTATTAATTCCCAGAAATTCTAGTGTCTTGAGGGCCCTTTCCTGCCTCAATTTCATGACTTTAGTATTTTGGCCTGCTGCTATTTTTTGTGTGTTTTATTTTGGGGTCACACTTGGCTGTGCTCAGGGATTACTCCTGGCTCTGCACTCAGGAATTGCTCCTGGCAGTGCTTGGAGAACCAT